TGAACTTTATTGCAGACCACTTCTTTTAGCCAGACAGCATTCTACCTACAAAATGGTCTCTCCAGCCACATGTTTTCTGTTGGGTTTGCTCACAGTTGAATGCACCCTTCATGAATGCTTTTGCCACCCTTCTCAACTCCAAACTTCCTCTCTCATGGTCTCTGGTTCCTCATCCTTCAGCTTTGGCTGTTGATGCTCTTCGCCAGGACTGATCTCAATTTTTTCTATCCTCTTCTTTGTCTACTACCTTGGGTCCTTGCCTTGATTTGCAACACTCCTTGGTGGTGCCTCTTTGGCCAGCTCAATCTTGAGTTACTCTGCTCCCTTGCTTGACAAACAAACCTCTACTTCTACTGCTCAATATGCCCTCTCTTGCTTCAACCTCGTGCATCACTGTATCATCAAGGGATATCATCTCTTCATCTTCATGTATGGGATTTGTCTGGTTCATTGCCTGTTGAGCTTGACTCTTTGATTATGTTACCTTTCTCTTGTGTCATTTTTGTTAACCGTTCACCTTGTCTGTGTATCATTGTAAGTGCTTTATGTATCATTGTTGGTCCATCCACCACCACTTCCCCCTAACTGACCTAGTGTACGTCATCTTTCCACTTTCTTTAGCTGGTTATTCAACTGTGATTTGTCAGTCTCCACCACTGCTGGCTATCAGGTAGTATTTTTCACAACATTTCTCCTTTTCCAGTGCCACAGAGTATTTACTTTGTATCCTCTCCACCTAGTTCCAATCCTTCCTTCTTCACAGATCACCTTACCCTGCTTCCTTGCTTGACTGGAACCTCAGTGTGGTTTTGTATATTCTCACACATGACCCATTCAAGCTGTTGGCCTCTTACTCTTTATACTTCCCTTGTCTTAAGACTAACTTATATTCTCCTCCTCCTCACTTGTGGTTGCTGTTATTCAGATGTCTATGGAATTGATTCTTCCTTTACCCTTATCCATCCCATTTATATACTCCTCTATCTTGATCATTCTTCCCCTTATAAGACTTATGGTGCTTGGGAAGGTAACCACACCTTCCTTCCATATCTCACCTCTATGATCATTCAGATCCAGACAGGATACTTTGTCTTGTTCAGTCTGTTCAATATCACTTACCATGTACCTTCACCTTTCAAGGCCCTCTTTATTATCTCTTTGTACTCTGGACCCCTCCTTTTCCAGAGACCTCTCTCCTTCTACCCTTATAGGATGGGTCCATCAACTTCTCAGTCTGATATTAGCTTCATTGGAAGTGGATACTCACAGGCTTTTCCATATTTCTTCCTATCAAGTTTGTCACCTTACTCATTCTATGATTGCTAATTTTTCATTCAGGCAGGCATGTGGACTATCCCATGCACCTTGATTGCTCACTATCTTTCCCATCTGGCTATTTTGTCTCCTGAGGGTTTTTGGCTTCCTTCAGTTGCTATTCTCCAGTCTACTCACTGTCTTTAGACAGGTGAGAACACTTTCTTTTTCATAGCCTCCTCTTTAGTTCATAGGATCCCATCATGGTGGCTGGTGTTATCTTCCATAGTATACTTATCCACAATCTGCATTGAGTCAAGATAATGGAAAGCAATTATACCATTTGTCCTGCTGTTCCTGTGCTCACTGTGAGATGGATTGAGGTATACATGTTTATTCAATTGTCCAATTCAAACCATACCTCTTCCAGAGACTATCATGGAGAATGCCAGCACCAGGAAAATGCACTGCTCACTTCTTTGGCTCTCACTTACTGACTTTTAAAAATAGGGCTTCACAGTCACCCATTGCACTGTTTTCAGTAACAGATTTTTCTGGCAGGATGGCTAGGCATGCCTCTGGTTCCAATGCAGATTCCCCTCACACCCTTTCAATGAGTGAAGCATGGGAGACCCTTGCCACTTACCAGTTCCTAGCAGCTGGAATGGTGGATCATGAAGAATCCTCACCAGTTGGGCTCAGCACAATACAGTAAGAAGTGGGATGGTTGTGACATTGTCAATATAATGTGGGTTACTCTTCTAAAACAAAATTCATACCACTTCTGCCCTCTGTACCACTTGTACCACTGCAGCCTGAAATTGTTTGGTAGAGTTGAGGTTAGCATACGCTCTATACAAAATCATATTGCATGATTACAGTGCCATCCTCTCACGGTTGGAGTTTGTCCTGTAGAGTTGAGGTTAGCACTCACTTTATGACACCAGAACTTGTAATTGATGTGCCTTCCATTTACAGCCAGTGTCCATTCAGTAGATTTGAGGTGAGCACTCACTGTTCAACACCATATTGCATAACTAACATGCCCTCCTCCTGCAGCTAAAGTCCATCCTGTAGAGTTTATGTGTGCACGTACTATACAAATCCATACTACATAACTAATTTGCCCTCCTCCTGCAGCTGGAGTCTACCAGTAAAATTGATGTGAGCACACAAGGTTTCCTGACCACACTACCCATATAGGCTTCCCAATTGCTTGTGTGCAAGTGCTTGGATAGTCATGTTCTTATTCCGTTAACCCATTCACTATGACTGGGACGTATATTAGCTGCAGTGAATGGGTTAATCCATGCAACACTCGGGTGCATTTGCCCCTTCTTCCCTTCCTTTTCAGGTGAAGAGTATGCTCTGGTTCAGATGAGGTCTCCCACACACGTGCTCATATGAAGTCCCTACCATCAAGTATCATACTCCATGGGCTTTCCTTCAGGCACTTTCTGAAGAGAATTCATCTAGGTAAAAATTGTATTGGCACCTCTACTTATTCAGCATGGAATTCTAGCTAAACTGTGTGAAGTGGGGTTATTATTTTGGAAGTTAACATTTTCCTGACCTGAAAATGCATTTCGGATAGATACTCACCTGTCCTCCCCACTTTTGGTGCATCTTCTTTTTTTTTCTTTGCTTTATCAAAGAATGAAGTTACTATGAATACAAGTGCATAAGGTGAGTTATTGTGCATAGAGGTTTGTTGCTCTTCTAACATTGGAGGGTTTTATCCTCATGTGAAATTAGGTGGGATTTGCTTCAAGGTCAATATCATGCAAATCTCTTTGGCAGATGTATGAGGAAGATAGCTGAATTGTGTGTAGATGTGAGTATCTATCAGAAATACATTTTCAGGTGTGGAAAATGTTAACTTCTTTAAGTAACTCAGACATGTGTTTGTTGTTTCTACGATGAGTAAGCTGTCATCCTAACGGGTTTAAGCTCGTCAGTAATCACCAAAATCTTACACAAAAGCATTAGTAAAAACACCATTTATAAGTGTTAAATTGGACCCCAGTACATTGAAGAAACAAAAGATTAACAAAGATTAGAATTCAGGAGCATAGCAGACACATAAGACATTATTGATCTAATTGCAATAGACCATCATGCCAAGGAAGACCTTATGATAAATTTGAGTAGGATATGAATGACATTCAGAAAACAAATATAAAATAAGCCTTCTATATCCATCTAACTGATATTACTGTCAGTCAACGTAAAAGTAAAAAACAGATATCCATCTCAAAAGCATTAAAATAATTTAGTTGATTCAAGCCCTGGTGGAGAAAGCCCCAGAAGAGTAGATAGCACCTAGCCCCTCCATCTAGATGTGGCTTAAATCCTCGCCACTACCATAACAGAAACAGACCTTTTCAGGACTTCCCTAAGAGCAGCAGATGTTTAAAACTAATTAGTAATTAGTACCTACAGTTTTTACAAGTAACTTATTAATAATTAGACTTTGGTGATCATATACACTATTACTTGACAAGGATTGATGTCTTCCACAACAACCTCACTGTAATTACATATATGGTTTTCTTTGTGCCTACTTCTTGCCTACTAATTTAGTGTACTGTTTCTATTGTTAATCCATATAATTGCTCTTTCTGGCTACTACTTTCCTTCTTATGCAGTGTACTCTGTCTGATCCATATAACTGTTCTTTCTCATTATTTCATGGTTGATTATGAATGAGGAATATTGTGATCCTAACTGGTGAAAAAATTATAAAGGAGTGATTTTTCTATGGACACTTGTTTCCTTATAATATATTTTCCACTAAATTTTGATAGTTCTTCTCATAAATATTTTATAGTATTATATTGAATGATCAAATTAATTTAATGTCTCAGTGGAATCAGTTTAATTTCTTTCTTACAAAAGTAGTAACAAATGAATTTCCATGTTACTTAGATAATATATTTGTTTTATCTTTACTTTGTGTCTTCAGGTGCTTTGCAATTGATTTATTCGGCTTGTAGCTATAACCTCTAATATGTCCAAATAATAGTGCAGGGTGGAAAAATTCAGACTTCAAGTTTAATGATTGTACAGGTTAAAATCAAATTGTGTTTTTCATTAAAGATGTCTCCAAAATTAACAATCATACATATATGATAAGTTGTAGCTGCTGATAAGTTTCATTTACCAGAGATATAACAGTTGTTCAACAGACTACAAACATTATATGATGCATTGCTTTATTTATACATACTTTAAAGTGTTTTCATTGCAGTACAGTATTTAACTATCAGTCTGATGTTTTAACTATATACTTGTAATGAACTATTCTAGGCTCTATTTACACTAGAACTTGTGTTTTTGTACTGTCTGGTGGACAGATCTGTTTAATGCAGATCTGTTTTTTCACTTATAAGTTAATATTTTTTCTATTCAAGACTATGACATATGATTAAGCTAAGTCCCAGCACCAGTTGTAAGTTTCACATGCCTTAGTTTGTACATGTGTATAATTCTTGATCCCATACTTTTCGATTTATTAAGAAACAACACAAGGAGTAACAGGCCTCGTACAATTTTACACTTTTGTTTTCAGAAGTTTTGACTGTATGCACCACCTGTCTACTTTAGCACTTAAGGCTATAAGGCTAGACTTAATTGAGCTATGTTCATGTAGATTTTGACAAGCTAATATTGTACTAAGCTGTCTCATTGATGATAATATTACATACTTTTGTTACTAAAATAATTATTTTAATGTTCCTCTAAAGCACTATAATAAGAAAATGTCTACTGTGCCTCACAAACGGAAGCCTGGTCGTCCCAGAAAAATTGAGCAGACCCTCTCTAAGCCTCATGCTCAAGTTTCTGTGCCTAAAAGACCACGCGGTAGACCTCCCAAGTATCAAAGACTAGAAGTAATAACTAATTCAGACCTATCACATGATCACAGTGGAAAGAAAACACTAGACTTTAAAGAAGGTGAAGATCAGAACTGTGACAATAACATTGTTTATGAGTTTCGTAAAAGAAAAGATACTTCTGATCAACTTCTGCAAATAAAAGGGAAAGATGGCATGAAATGTCCTTATTGTTGCTATATTTCTAATGGAACAAATCGTCTCGAGCAGCACATATCCTCGGTTCATGCCAAAGATGTAACTTACAAGTGTGGAATTTGTGATTTTACCTGCAGCTGGAATCGTGAATACTGGGACCATATGAGGGCTCACTATGATGGCCCCCCTTACAAGTGTGAATCATGTCCTTACACTTGTGAAAGAATCCAGTTCCTGTTGACGCATCGAATGAAGCACACAGATGAGAAGCCATTCCAGTGTGAACAGTGTGGTTATCGTTGTCGCACTAAGTGTAATTTAATTGCTCACAAGAGGAGCCATACTGGTGAGAAGCCTTATAAGTGTGACCACTGTGGCCGTTGCTTCAGCATGAAAGGATCCCTTGATCAGCACATGGCAACTCACAGCAACATTCGCCCCTTTCTCTGTGATATGTGTGGGTTTTCCACAAAATATCAATCTCATCTACAGCTTCATCAGAAGATACACACTGGTGATGTTTTTCGTTGTAATCATGCCAACTGCACATACTTTACACCCAAGAAGAGTCAGTTAGCTGCCCACATACGAACCCATACTGCAGAACGATCTCACATCTGTGCTGTTTGTGGACGTGCCTTCATAGAAAAGAGCCATCTCGTGCGACATGAGCGTATTCACCTGAGTGTTAAGCCTTATAAATGTGACCAGTGCGAGTACAGTAGCACAAGACGTGATAAACTGAAGGAGCATGTTGAGAAGCATCATGGTTTAAATGCCACTGCAAGAGTGCCATTTAAACCTAGGAAACCACGACGGCAAAAATTTGACCCCTCATGTTTTCCCAATCTAGATACTCAAGCAACAATTGTCAGTGAAATGCACACCACTGAGCAAGAACCATCATTGTACCAGTACTCTTATAACACAGAAGTTAGTCCAGAACTATCAACCAGAGTTCTGTTGGTGCAGAATCAATCAGTCCATAACCAGCAAGCATCTGTGGTTGACCCACTTCAACAACATAATCACCATTCACAAGTTATGTATGTAGAGACAAGAATGATGCCACCTGACCAGCAAACAAATGTTACTGTGATGCCTGCCAACATCCCTCATCAACATCATCCCTCATCTCATCATCCACTTCCAATGCCACACACCGCTGTCCCAGTGGTTCATAACCCTGGGGATGAAGGAGGAAATTATTCCCACACACAGGACTTAGGAGGCCTTGGGGCTTTCATGGCTTTCTTTTGAATTACTTTATTAAATAAACTTTTTTTCTTGCAAAGAGAAAATTAGGAGCAGATGAAAACATTGTTTGAGGTATATTATTGTGATTTTTTAAAATTATGAATATATGTGCATCATGTTTTATAGTCAGTTATGTATTATTTAGATTTTTTGTTGGTTACATATATAAAAAATGTTAAAGTGGTACTATTGCTTATTAATACTAATAAAACTTCTCATGAACCTGGAAGAAATTTTTCTCCTTTAATGAAAATATTTACTAGATATGTGTAATACATTTCATTAGTCATAAAACTAAAAGATTCTGTCACTTTGTTTTACTGTGTGCTTTATGACAGGACATGTTGAATCATTATCTTACCTATACACTGTCATTTAAAACTTTCATTAATAATACTACTTTGTCTTCATTAATTGTTCTCTCATGGAACTAAATACTTGTTTTGTTTGTTCACTGTGAAATTTATTTGCATTTTCTTCATTATTTTGTTTTTTTTAGTAAGAGTTTGAACCTTGTTTATGTATCATATGTATAAAAATCTTGTTTTTTTTGTGGGTGTAAAATATGTTAATCAAGATAATAAGTGGACTTTATATGTCAGAATGCATTAACCGTTCAGGACTAAGTGTAGGTTGGTTTGTTTTGTTTCAAGTGACAAAAGACTTGTAAATTGCGTGTTTTTTATGTCTTAAAAAAAATTTGGTCAGTATTATAAATATCTAAGTTATGGTTTGTAAGTTTTTTAAATGCTCACTGATAAAGCATTAAGCTACACAGTTTTCTAATTTAGTAGTTGGATTTATGTTTACTTCGTACCTTTTAAATATTAATTCTTTTTCTCTTGGTAGCTATATAACAGCTAAGTTTCTTTGAAAACTTGAAGTTAAGTAACAGTATTAACAATAAGTAGCACATGATGCCAGGAGCACGTTACTATTAAAACTGTTTGTAAACTAATCACTAAAATGCTGAATATTTTTTTTTTTTTGTATGAACACAAGCAATTTGAAGATGTATGGTACTTTATTAATTGTCTGTTGTAACTATATTCATGAACTCTAAAATTATTACATAGGTATCTCCAAGTGTGGCAATGTGTGCATTAATAGTTGTCTTCAGCTTATGTTTGTGTTTTGTTACAATTAACACTAATATAAGAATAAGAAATTTGAGCCCTGGTTTGTTAACTGTTAAGTATTTACTATAAGAAACTTCAAACATTCAATCCTCAGAAATGCCACTCATCTTTCCACAGAACAAATAGCTGTTACACTACAGATAAATGTATTTGTGCATTTGCCAAGCTGTGAACGAAACTCCCACTTCTATATGTATTAGTGTGTGCTGTGCCAGTCTGTGACACAATCAGTATTAAACTATAGCCCTACTTTAATAGGAGGGTGAAACATCCTCCATGTGCAATATTCCCTTGAGCATATTGTGTAAACCAAAAGCTCCTTTTCTCGGTACTGCTAGTGGTTCAGATGTCTTTTTTGTTTCACAATGAATTATGGAATTTTTGTGCTTTTTGTTTTAAACTTTTAGCTAATAATTCAGAATTTTATGTTTTTTTATCTTTATTTTCTTGATTTTGAGAAATAAAGATACAAATTTTAAAAATTTCAGTTAGAGCTTCTGATACAAACCAATATCTTTTCTTACATTAATTTGATTTCGTTTCTTCATCAAACTATAAGATTTTGAGACACGAGTTCCAGTGTTCTGGTTTTGATAATTAATCTCAATTTTCATCATTATGAAAATGACCAAGGCCTACATACCATTGGATATACTAAACCTACTTAAAAATAAGTAATCATGTTAATAATTATAATCATAATATTACTTTCTATGAATTCTGTTTTATGGATTTTATTAGTTGTGATTTCTTATATCTGCATTTCTGAAACATCCCAAGGTCCAGACTTTCTTTCATAGGTGTTGTTCTTATTTTCTTTAAATGGCAACCATTTTACCTCATGTAATTGATTCATCTTTGATCCAGGATATATGGTATCCTGCTTTTGTACCTTATACTGAGCCTGCCTTGTCTTTGACCAGTTCTTACCACATATTCTGTGTTCTTTTACTTCAGTTATTTTCTGCTGGTTCTTGGGTGTCTACTTGCACACACTTCAACTCATCTTTTGTTTCTTTTATTCCCGTGCCTGATTGTTACAGATTCTTTCAATCTGTTCTTGTATTGACTCTTAGTTGCCATGTCTTCCCTAAATTTAAAAATTGTTCTCTGTGGGATATGGTTAGAATTCTTTTTTCTAGTGCTCTTATTCCTTTGAATTTCTTTGCACAGCTTGGAAATATTATTTTTCTTGTACTTTGACTCTTTTTACCATCTATCTGCTCTTTTTGCTTTATTAGCTTGCTATTCCCTGTATCCCCTCTTCTGAGGCTTTGAATTACTACACCAACATCCTTACTAGGGTAAGGTTGAACTAACCTGTTTTTCTTTCTTCCCAATTTTCTTTTTCATCTATTACTCTGTTCACTTTCTTTGATTCTTGGATTTGCTTCATCAGGACACCTTGTTTTCTAGAATTAGACTCCCTCTGTTTTATTCATGGGTATTTTAATTGACTCATTTCCTTTATGCAGACAATTTGGGGAGCTCATCTTGTGGTCCCTTCTTGGTGTGTGTGTGTCACCCCCCACCTGAGAGGCCAGCCATCAAGGGGCTCACAGACAAGGTGTTTCTGGAAACACTCTTCAGCTTTGGTCCTGTTAGTGCTTCAGATAAGCAAAAAATTGTTCAGTTTCTAATGAAAGCACCAAACTTTGCACAAAGCTTCTTCCAAGCACTCTTTATTGATTAAGAATGGATACCACACTGAACTCTGGATGAAACTGCTGCCATCCTGGATTTCAAGCTGCTGCCAAAATCTGTAATTTTCTGTATTTTTGGTTCTAATTGAGATAAACATGTATAACTTGACATGTAATTATATTCTTTTAGTGACAGAATCTGATTTTGCAACATTTATATATGTATGACTACTGAAACATCAAAATGGCTTCCATCAGTCATTTAATTTTACATTTTGTTACCAGAAATGCATCTTTACTCGAATAAACTAAATAATAACATCAACTGATGCTTATGTATAGTCCTATTTGCTATTTTATGCCTGTTTTGAAATATCAAAGCATTAAAGAAGCAATGGTTAGTGATATTCTATTTTAAAATAGCTGTTTTTGAAAGCCAATATGCCTACTTTGGAATACATATCTGTATTTTACTGTGTTGTTAAAATATATTAAAGAAATAAATATTTAGTCAACATCATTTAAAATTCAACCTTACTTTCATCAACAATGTTATTTCAGTCTTCCTAAGTCATTTCATAGATAGTTACAAAATCAAACTTCTTTACTTCTCAAATTTCATTTATAGTGCATGTCTCTTCTAGGTATCTTTACACTGAAATACATAATATATATGGCATACAATCTCTTACAGGTACTTAATTGTGAAGATCAGTTTCAATGAATCATATTATCTAATACCTAATGCAAGCAAAAGCCATATAATGAATGTAACATGCTTAAAAGTATAACAAAATGTATGTAACTATCAAGTATATTTAATATGTTCAACCAAATCCATTTCTAGATTTAGCCATACAGTCTTTTTTTTTCAACAATAAGGATACTTATTAAAAAGTATGTGAAATTACAACAAGAAAAATTGAGTGACATTATGAAACATAAAACAATCTGTGAACTAACGGTCATGGATGACATTTATTTTAATTCATAATTACAATTTTTGAGCAGTAACATACCTAGTTAAAGGTTGCTGACTGTGATATCAATGAAATACAGATACAAACATTGGGAATATATTATGCATCAACCAAAAACTTCTGTAGAACTGAGGGCAGATTAAAAAAGCATTTGACACATACCCACATAAAACCTTTAGATGCTTATACTCTCAAATTTATGGTATATAGTAGTCACTCACATTAAAGATATCGATTTAAACAGAAATACAAGATTTCCAAAGAGTAACTACTCGGCTGCTTGTATGTCTTGCCTGCTGCAGTTTTCACTTCAGGTGCACAGAGTAGTACAAGCAAGACTAGAACAATAACATTTGCACAATCCTTGGCATGTTTTATTACAGCCATAGTATACCAGCTCATGGCATGCATTGCAGGCCACCAGTAATGTTGTCAATTTGTCCCAGCCCCAGTTAACAAAGGATTGGAGTTCAGATGTAGGTAGTAGTGATTGAGCCCACATGTATCCAAATTGCAGTGTGGCTCTCCTTATTTGTTGAATGAGGGCTGTCTGTGTGAGAGGTGTATTCTCCAGAGCTTGGGATCCTTTTGCAAAGAGGACCAGGCATGCATCATTTACAGCACAAAACTGAGATGTTCTTGAACATAGAAGTATCACAAATTGCTCTGGAAGTGGTGCTGCAGAATTTTCTTTGGACAAGATGGGCTACTTAGTGCTACAAGTCTCAGTCATCTCTAGATGTACTTCCCAAACATTCCATACAATTTTTTTTTCTTCTCTGTGCAAGATAAGATATGGTATCACCACCTATGAATGCATGAAGAAAGAGTGAGCCAGTTGCATTTTCTAGACCTCTAAGTTCAAAGCAATAGAGTGACAAGGGATGTATTGGAAATGTTTACAAACACCAAAGGGAATCCACAGTTCTATCAAAGATAGGTTTAGCAATTGTGATATGGAAGTAACCACTACATCATTGTCAACAGTCCTAATTATTATATTTTTATGACAGTTGTTGTTAGCATGGGCCACATGTAGTAACACACAGGTGTCTGCTTCCTCTTGACTTTGTGGCTGAAGATTAGCATTGCATCTGTCTCTGAATCGTATACTGTAAGGATTATCTCTAACTGTGTTATGAATACTTGTTTAGGTCTGACATCCATTGTCAATAGTTTCTGGGCAAGAGTATGAAGAGTTATTCCTTGTTTTAATCATTCTCAAAAAAGACATTCCAGTTCCTTTGGAGATAGTTTTTTTTGTCAGTTACTCTTCTCCTTGTATCAACATCTCTGTTTTCTCTTCTCAGTCTTTTCTCTGCATAATTGCCAAATGCCTTTGCTGTCCTTTGCTTTTATATGTGGATTATAGCTGCACCATCAAGAATTTTTATTGATATATCTGGCAAGGGTTCACTGGGTATGTACATTGATCTTCCAGACATCTGGAGAGGTCAAATTTTATTCCCATTTTCAGTTTTTCCTGACATGATAATGAGGGTGGTTTAGGACTGTTCTCATGAACAGAAAATTGCACAAGTTTTCCAACTCTAGACTAACATGATATGTATAATTGGGAAACAGATTACAATTTTTTTGTAATGCAGCTGCCTGATGCTGGATCTTTGAGTGAGATTTTGTTGGTTAATTGTTAATTAGAAGAATATTGTTTATCTTTGTGATATCAATCACTGGTTGCCTTTGACTGGTCAGTTGACCTTTTACAAGTGATTCATACTGCTCTCTCCCAGTTCACATTTCTGACTTGACAGCATGCACCACAATCATATCTATCACATCTCTTGTAATTAGAGCAATAAGGTTTTGAGAAGTAGGTTCCCATGGTTTTTGATGGTCTCTACCATGGACTTGATATGTTTGATTAATTTCTCCTGCATTGAATATTACTTTTCATGGTGAGAAATGGGAGCTTTACCATCCTCATCTGAAGAGGGAGATTCCTCAAACTCACGCAAAAGCCTTGAGACCTCTGGTCCTACTAGCATCCACCTCCTGAGAGATGTTGGACTATTAAGTAATGTAACAGCTCCTCCTCCTTGTTTTATGCTTTTATTAGATTGTTTGTGTGACCGATCAAGTGCCATGAGTGAGAACTTGAACTTGTGGCTAGATCTTTGTACAACAAAATTGCCCCTGATGAATTCTTCATGTACTGTAGGATGAGATTTTTTTTCAGTCAACCAATATGCATAGTGCACAGTTTAATGGTATTACCTCATCTATAATAAATACATATAAATCAAAGTTTCCTTTACATAATATATGAAGGTTCAATAAGAGCCCAAGCTCCTTGACAGCATCTTGGTAGATAAATTGAGGTTGTTTATTTGATTTTATTTCACACCAACTTGCAGAAGTAGTGGCACCATTGTCAACTGATTTTTCCTGATATGCAGCTTGTTGAAGTATGTGCAGCGCAGCTTTGTTGACCTGGTAAGCATACTGTGTGTGCTTCACATCAGAGATTCTTAGCAACACCAGCCTCTGCAGTCACTTCAAATCATCCAATGCCATCAAGCCAGTGACCCAAAGTCTTAAGAATGACTTTTTAAATATGAAGGCTGCTCATGGCACCTACAAACTTGTCTTCACTATGTGTTTCAGGATATGCCCACTGGATCTGTTTAGCAAGGATGTAAAGAGGCGAATCCATGATAATGACAAGTCTCTGGCCTGGGTTGATAAGCCGAATTGCTTCTTTAGCATTTTTCATTGCATGTTTTACCATTGCAGTTGTGAAAAGAGGTAAAAAAGCAATGCAAGTGTCACCTAACTGCGTGCTAGTCTGAAAAGCTGCCCAGTATACAGAAACACAACTTACCTCTACACTACTGACTACTATACCTTTTTTCAACCACTAAAATTCCTTTGCTTTTGCCTCACAGATTGGGTGTTTTTCAGTTCTCACTGGCTGTTCTGTTAAGGGAACTTAAAGGCTTATGTCATGCAGTGACATATGTGGGACCTACAAATAACTTGTTGGAAGTTGAGACATAGACCTCTGTTTAGGAGCTTCATAAATGTTGACTAAATCTCATGTATTTGACTCAGGCTTTTTCTTTACATTTTTGAGATATGAATCTTCTGCTTTCCAAGGCTCTCATGTCTCATTTTCTCCCTATTAATAAGGTTCTGTCACTTTTGAGTTCTCTCACTTCTTTTGTGTCCCCTTCAGTGGATTCTAGCAGAACAGTAAAATATACCATGTGATCTCAATGTCATTGTGGCTCAAACATTTCCATACAACTGTGAGCTTTCATCTTCCTCCATCCTGCTCAGACTTACACCTGTTCACAGATGCCATTCTAGCTAGATGGGATGTACTTCTGAATACCTTCACTCTGTTTTGGTGTTTGGTCTCTTGCAAAACAGTCTTTCCACATCAGTGGCATTGAGATATAGGCAAAAAAATGGACCTGCCATCATGTTTTCTTATGACTGTCTATACATCTTGATTTTATCCATTTCAACAACTCCACTGTCATTTATTACATCAGTGAAGAGTGAGGTACTCATTCTTTGGACCTTTGTTTCTTGTTCTCGAGCTCCACTTTTGAACAATTAACAACAAAAGTTGGTTCTTGGCCTTCCATGTTCTAGGAGTTCTGAATTTGGTGCCAGATCAGCTCTCACCAAGACCAAAATCTTCAGATTGAGTGGTCTTTAAATATCCTGGTGTTTCAGCCTTGAACCTTCATATTTCTTCAGAATGTGTCACTCTATCTTTATATATGTCTTTTGACTGGTTCTTTGCAAGACAGACATGATTCCCTCACAGACAGTTGTTTTCTTGCTTGCTTTTGTTGGCCAACTACATTTGCACTTTATCAACACAAATAGGTGATTTACTGTTGATGATCTATTCAACATTTTCTCCAGATTGTTCAGCTCTTCCTCATCTCATTTCCATTTTTACCTGGCTTTTGAGGGCAGATTGTCCATTTCTATCATTACCGGTTACAGAACCATTTTGTCAATGAACTCCTGTCTCTTCCCTGACCATTCTTCTATTCTTTCTAGTTTTTATGGACCTCTTCTAAGCTTTTTTCTTTATTTGTCTTCATTCTCAACTGAAACCTCTGTTTCATTATTAGGACTCTCATTTGTCCTCCATTTGAACCTTTGACTACCTTTTCCCTGTACTATCTTTCTCTTAAGACATATTTTCTTTTCCTTCTTGCATGTGGGAGATGTTCTTTCATTTTTTGTCTTGAACAACTCCTGCACTACTCACTACAAGAACAGATTGATTTTATTTCCAATAGCTTCTTCCTCCTCAAGAATTTGATCAGATGATTTCTCCACTTTCCCTCCCTTTTATTTGTACAGTTGTTCCGGTCATTATAATATTTTCTGTCCTGTCAAGACAGTTTGTAGTTTTCTTGCTCATACTGATTTTTTTTTTTTGAGGGACTCAACATAATGTTTTTTTGACATGGGATTTTTCTTCTTCTCGTGACTATCTTCCACTTTGACTGTTGGATGAAACAACTCATCCAGCTTTTGTATTCCTCTATGGCGATGTCACTAAATTTCTTTTTAATGTCCTTTCCCATAAAATTTTTCATCTCACTGCTACTCTTACCTCTAACTGTCACAGTACCTTAGACGAGCCCTTGCAGGCAGGGATCTAGATGACCACCAACACCTTTGTCTGTAATTACTTGTGTCACATTGCAGTTTTATCTGCCTCTGATTTTCATTTCTTTTTAATTGTCATTTTACAGTCTTCACAGAAATTGTGAAGTTGAATTGTTGTTTGTTTATTTTTGCAGCTCTACATATCTGTATACTGGAGATGATGGAACCCACAACTTGTTCAGTGCTGCCTCAAATGGAATATTTCTCTCTCAAAATCTGCATCAAGTAGAGGATAACAGACAATGTTAAGCCCTTCTACCCCTGCTGTTGATACAGGGTTTTTCACAAGACTGCTTCAGCAATGTTTATAGTTTATCTTGTAAGTCATACTGCTTGTTCATAAAAAAAAAAGAAGACATTACTAAGTGTGTTTCTTACCCTCACGCCTGGCTAGACCCTTCTATCATTGTGGGACCTGTGTTTCTTGCCCTCACACCTGGTTAGCCCCTGCTATCAGTGTGGGACTTGTGTTTCTTGCCCTCACACCTGCTAGCCCCTGCTATCAGCGTGGGAATTTTATGCAGATGAAATTATCCCTGTTTGGTCCATGCACCCCCTCAGTGTGACTTCCATTTTCTTCAAGTGAAGTGGGAGGACCATCTATTTCCCTAGTACCAAGCTGCTGGAAAGGTTCTTATGGAGAGTTCCCTGCTGGGTCAGATTAATTCCACTAACATGAGATCAGATGAGTGCACTACACAGTTGGAAGTAGGGCTGAAGTGTTCACCTGGAAGTGTAGTACATCACCCCCACCCACACACACACACACACACATACACATTAAAAATGTTATTGTTAACAGTGGTTATTCCAGCTGATTGGGTTTTGCCTTCTCTTCAAGACACAAGTCTAGGGTGATTCATCTTTGCACATGCTTATTCTGTTAAGTAGTTCATGTACTTTGATTTACTACCCTAGCCACAGTGCACATAAAGTTTTTGTTGACCCCTTGAAATATACGGACTGGATGAGCAGTTATTACATTAAGCCTTTCTATGTGACACTTAAGAATCATGTATGACGTTATTTTTATCTGCCTATTTTATGCTCTCAATGTACTGTACAAAGCATATTCTCTGCATGAGATGGATGTGGTTTTCTATAGAGGGATGCCCCAATGGATGACATGCTCCATGTGTTTTCCCTTTCTGTTGCTGTACTCTCAGTTAGGAGCTCATTTCCTTATCTAAAAATGTATTTCAGATAGGTACTCACCTTTGGTGTACATATTGTGCTGTAGGGGGATTACTGCATATAAAGCACATGTCACTCACCTATTGGTGGAGGGCTATAGTCTAATGATGAATACATCATAGGCTAGCACAACATATTAATACGTCTACAGGTGGGTATTTTATTCAAGGTTTGGCACATGCTCAAACCTTTCAACAGTGACATATGATAATAATTGTGGAGAACTGAGTATCTATGTGAAATACAGTTTTAGGTAAAGAAAATGTTAAAATGTTCTAGTGCAATTTATATTTTTAGATAAAAAATTCTTTTCCATGTATATTAGGTTAAGTTGCATTTATTTTAACTTTGGAATATGAAAATATCAGTACCATGTGAAGCATTTTGTTATAGGATTTTTTTCATAGTGTGTACTTTGAAATAAACTATGACTGAATCTGACCAAAAGCTGTTTTTCAGGTCCATCTGGTGAAAGCAAACATAAATGTAAGTTTAGTAGCTAAAGAACACTATGCTGAAATGAGCTGTCAGATTTATACCTGTAGTAATTAATATAATAACTCCAAACTTAAAAATTAATTCTTAGGTGTGACAAAAATGCATCTCACCATTCGGTGTTTTGTGATTGGGCTGAAACGTTGCATATTTCTGTTTGGATGGAAGTTTCATATGCCCATTTCTTGTGATTTTTGTTAGAATAAGAAATAACAAAGAAGGATCAGAACAACAGGTAAAGGAATCAAGCATAACCACACAATACAATCATAATTGGATTTTTAAAGTTTATTTTGATACTAAATAAAAATCAAATCCTTTATGGTATTGTAGGTAGGAGAGCTTTTGTTTGTTGTGTTTAATTAACATATGAAACTTAATCATGGTGTAACTTTGTGACCTCATAATAACTAAATAATAAATTATGTGTTAAAACAGAAAATGTAGTTAAGTGAATATTAACTGTATAGGTTTAAGGAAAGCTTCAAGTATGGAACTTAGTACTGTGTATAAAAAAACTATTTCAGTTTGTAAGTAATTGAATAAAGTGTCATGAGGACTCAGTTGGATTTAAAAATAGTGGCTTTATGAATAATTTAAATACATGTTCATTATCAAGAAATTTTGTTTACCATTTTCATTCATTAAAAGACACTTGTGTTTTTGTATATCCCTTTACACAAAGAAAACAAACCAATATAACTGTTAAGGTTGGTTCATATGATAGTACCAAAGCTTAAAGAATTGTACAAAATTACTCAGATTAAGCTTTTTTATTTCACACAAACTTTCAACTACCTTCTAGAAATAGCCATCATATTTGTGATGGCTCAAAATAATCTCACAACAAAATACAGTCCTAAGTGATGTGTATGATCATGGAATATGGTTACACTGTCATGATAATTAAATAAACTCTTAACAGTGAATGTTGTTAATCAATACAAAAATTATATCGATCCTCAGACACTAGCAAGTAAAGATTTAGTGGTGTTTACTTTCGCCTCCTACAGTTTAGATCTATTGATGAAATTCTACTTTTTATGTACTGTTGGACCATGATTATGGAGGTCTAAAGACAACTCCATAATCATTGTATATTATTGTGATTGTGAAGAAGCTCGATATCATCTCTTCCAGAATGTGTTGGTTTTGAGAAAAAACAACTTAATGCTAATCTTGTGGAAAGCTAACTCATGCAAACACCTGACTTAGCATGGCTCAAAGTAGTCCAGACTGGCAAAGGGTAGAACAGTGCAGAATTAAAAACTCCAATCTTTAAGATTAAACTAATCCAGTAGAAGACAATGGGTAATATATGGTTAAAATATCATGGCATTTTGGGAAAGAGATGTAAAAAGATGGTTGAGAAAAGTATTGTTCATTTAGGGAATTGTGGGAAAGGTTTTGATATGCTCTATCTGAATTTATACATTTTTTTTGTCGGGGGGAGGTAATCATTGTGGTACTTGAGATGCAGTAGAATTGCCAGTCCAGTATTTAAGCAAGTACACATATGGTGTTTGTTTTGTAATAGAGAACTCACAATTACTTCAAAGTAGATATTTTGTTGGATCTCATGTTAATCAGCAGACATGTCCCTTTGCTTTCAGGATAATCAATTTGACCTGAATATACCAAACCATTACATAGTTAAGTATCAAGAGCCTTTCAAGTCATATAGACATCTTTCTTTAGACTTGATTTTCTCATTAAAGTTTAATGTGAATGCACAGTAGAGCTACTACTAAGTTACAACTCTTAAGTGGAATTTAAAAAAATTGACATTTTGTTACATCTGACTGTGAAGGTGTTAAAGTGAAGAAACTAAAGTTTTTATTTCCAACATGTTTTTTCTGGAAAAATGTCATTTATTTCATTGCCACCATTTTGCATATATATATATATACACACACACACACACACACACACAACATTCCTGTCTGCTTGGTTTATTGTATGTCACAGTGTAATCTTCTTCATATTAAATAATAGTGTTGGTCATATTTCTACTGTTATATGGTTATATACTTTGGTGCATTCAGTAAAAAAAAATCTATAAATTGTTTGAACAGCACAGGGTGCAACTCCATTTGCAATTAAGAGCTATAGGGTAAGGTCTGTGTTTAGCATATTCCAGTCACCAATCTAATCCATCCAGCTGATGACTCTTGAAATCCATTTCTTCATCTAAGCAACATGGTTTGATAGAAAAAAAGCTTTTATTCATGTATCAAAATAATATAATAAGAATATACTGATTACCCTTTGATTTAATTGGCAGTGGATCTGCTATACCCAGTGCCACATGCCTAACTGTCATTTTTATTTTTATGCATCAATACTCTCTTAGTTTTATCATTTATTTCTCTTGGCTCAGGAGGTGCGTGTTTTATATTCTTTTATGATACCCTGTAATTGTTTTCTGGCTGGAAAATTGTCTCTTCAGATTAGTAGGAACCTTAAAAATCCTTAAACTCCACATGTCTGTACAGGATGTACATATACTTTTTCTGCCAGATTAATGGAAGTTAAAGTTGATTAAGTCATGTTTGCAGGGAACTAACTTACAGTAAGAAATGCACAGAATTTTTAAACATCCCCAGACAATATTGCAGACAGAATGTTCATAAACTAGATACAAAGTCTAAGAATGTAATTTCAGAGACTTCCACAAGATTTTACTGAGCACATAATCCTAGAAGCCTGGATCAGTTCTGATTCACATTCAAGTTTTTATGGGAAGGTTGTGAAAATTTAATTTTTTGTCACGTCTTCTTACTAATTCTTCATTTGGACATCTGAACCACATTAGTCCACTTTTCTTTCTGTTGTGCTGAATTATTGTCTTCATTAATAAAATCAGAGTATTCGTTGAAAGAGCATTTTATTACATTTTAAAGAGTTCATCTGTAATACAGTGTTTTAAAACTGAATGGCATTCTAACACTAATTCAATTTTCTACTATGGTCCACCTGGTGATGTCTCCCAATGGCACAGTGGTATTTCTGCAGACTTACAATGTTAGAAACCAGGTTTCAATACCTGTGGTGGGCAGAGCACAGATAGCCCATTGTGTCGCTTTGTGCTTAACTCCACACAAACAAACTACCTGGTGATCACTCCCCTGAGCTTTGAAAACAAATTCATGAACTCATAGTTAATTTGTACTCTGCTTTTTAGATCATGCAAGTAGTGCTAATGTTTTATAAAAGCTAGTTTAGCTACAACAGTTCCTTTTATGGATGGGCTCAGATTATTGCATGTTTAAGCTTTATATGCATAGTAAGGGAAAAGTCTTGAATGTAAGCTCTGTAACAAACTTCCTTTAATAGAATGTGTACCTCTAAGAAGTTCTTCTTCTTTATGTAGAGCTGGACCAGGCAGTTACTGTCTCATTCTTCTCAGGATTTGATAACCAGTCTTCTCAGATGTTTGTTCAAACAACAACAGTGTCTATTCTATTGAACTTAATCTGTTTAAACTAATTTTTTAAAATATTCTTCATAAATTTGATGTGTGTCTTGATTCATTCAGTAAAGACAATAATTTCAGTGTGGAGCTGTTCATTTTACTATTTTATAATCTAATTGCTTTAAAATAGTGTTCCCAATACCTCATTCAAGAGTTCTTGTAGTGTTCTTTTTATAAAAGTTGAATGAGTCCAGCTTGCTTTATTATTTTTATCATTAACTTCCATGATTACACTTTTTATTTAGGGTCAGTCAGGGCAGGTGTATTCTTGGTGTACTTGCCAGTTTTTTGGATACTACCATTTTTGTCATTGGTAAGACTGTTATGTGTGAGCTCAGTTTCACTCCTTTCATTCTTCACTGGCTCTGGTACTAAAGTAGAGGTTATATGTAAGAAGTCTACTACAAGGAAGCAACAACCAACTGCTCTTCTCTGGTTTCTCTTTGAAAACTTGAACATTATTATTGCTGTCAGTAATAGTGGTACTTTGTATAGGAGGAGCCAAGATTGGTTTTTACAGTAAATATCAAAATCAAACAGTGTAATTACAGTTATGTTATCCAAGAATAGTTTTGTATAGTAAATATCAACACCAAACAGTGTAATTACAGTCCTGTTATCCAAGAGTAGTTTTGTATAGTATATATTGACATAAATCAATGTAATTACAGACCTGTTATCCAAGAGTAGTTTTATATAGTAAATACCAACATAAATCAGGGTAATTACAGTTCTGTTATCCAACAGTAGTTTTGTATAGTGAATATCAACATAAATCAGTGTAATTACGGTCATGTTATTTAAGAGAAGTTTTGTATAGTAAATACCAACATAAATCAGGGTAATTACAGTTCTGTTATCCAAGAGTAGTTTGGTATAGTAAATATCAACATAAATTAGGGTAATTACAGTTTTGTTATCCAAGAGTAGTTTGGTATAGTAAGTATCAACATCGATCAGAGCAATTACAGTTTTATTATGTAAGAGTAGTTTGGTATAGTAAATATCAACATCAAACCTTTCCCACACCCAGCCACCCCTCGAGACAACTTTAGCTCTTGGAAAGTCTTTTTTTTTTACTTCGGGATGTAGTATTTTTAACAGAGGTAAGCACACATTTGGTGGCACCTTCTGGTTTTGGTAATACTGCAGGAGAAGCATTAATGTTTGCCATGGCTCCTTCTTTTCTAGAGGTGGTGATGAAGTTGGCAACTGTGGCTAAGCCAACTGCGGGCTAACCTAAATTGGCAAAGAGGTGATGGTCTGCAATGGATTCTCCAAAACTTCAGTAGTTGCATTGTCTACCAAGGGTTTGTGCCCTGCAGATTGATTGGCAATCAAAAGAAAACTTCGAAACCAACCTAACAACTGATTTGGCTAGATGCATCGACCAGCAATGCGTTTTCATTCATGGGCTCTATAGAGTTTAACTTCAAGCTGGATCCAAGAGTCTTCAGTTTGTTAGTAGCGTACAGCTTCTCTCTGAACAATAAATTCTGAGCATAATGATCTTCATCAAAACTTCATTCCACGATTCAGCTTGAACAAGACTTGGGCGTTTAAGTGGACTAGAATGGACAAACACCTCTGGCTAGTCAATAACTGGACTTAAAGGTCCACTTGATGCAGTTGAAATTAAGCACAAGTGCATATGACACCTTGATGATCTTCAATCTTTGTGCTACACAAAGTCTGGTAACCATGTACTCACTTTTGGATGCAGCACAGTGGACTCAACCATAAAACTTCTGCTAACCTCAGTTATTTCCATTCATCCACCATGCTGATGACCATTCCAGCTGTAAACAGGATAACAGATCACCCATAATTGCAGAACAATACTGGAACTTCATCCCTCCTTGGAATGATAACTGCTGCATAAGATAATGCTGTTTGCTTTCTGTACAGGAAGTAGTATACTTCATACATGGGCATTATTACCACATTACATAGTACAAATGGTCTAGACTTTGTATTTAGAAAACCACGAGACACCACTTCTAAGTAGGAATACTGTGAATTTCTCTCCCACATAAACTCGTGCAGTTTCACTGTTCCTGGGCTCTATCTGGCCATCATTGGTTAACT